TTTTTTTTTTCCTTTTGAAAATGGCGACGGCCTCGAGATATCATCTTTGAACTGACCGGCCCTATTAGGTAATTCTGGATGATGTTCTGGTCATCAGGTGGCATCTGGATTCGAACTGGGTCTGTATTTCTTTTTTTCTCCTTTTTTTCTCCTTTTTTCTCCTTTTTTTCTCTTTTCTTTCTTTTCTTTTTTTTCTTTTTTTTCTTTTTTTTCTTTTTTTTCTTTTTCTTCTTTTTTTTCCCTTTTTTTCTTTTTTTTCTTTTTTTTTTTTCTTTTTTTTTTTCCATATGTCTACCAACTGATCTAGGCTTATAGGTACGCCGTACCTCCCTCTCTTTTCTTTTTTCTTTTTCTTTTTTTTTTCCCTCCGAGATTCGAACTCGTAACTTACTGATTCACAGGGGATTGCCACATTACTCAGGAAACGACGAGAGAAAATGTCGAGTGCATCCGCACGCAGAGGGTGGACCGGTGCATCGGCTACTATAAATAATAGCAGATGCATGTTGCCACCTTCTTTGGGAAAATGCACTCGACATTTTCGCATTTCGTGAGTAGTGCGGAGAGGGTGACACAGTCTATTTATAGTCCATGCAGTAGTGCACACACATTTGTGAATTTTTCTTAACAGGTGGAAGGGATAATACAGACGCAGTAAATTTTTTTATTTTTTTTTGGGGGGGGGGCGCGGAAAGACAGGAAATTTGCATTGCGCGGCTGAGGTACCGCTCACCTGGACACTTTATTATTCCTAACTGTAAAAAATGAGAATCAGGGCCTACAGTCTTCCCCCGAATACAACGCACGGTCATTATAGCTGAATGTAGACTGAAAGATACACCAAATTCAGCTATAAGGACCGTACGTTGTATTCGGGGGAAGACTGTAGTTGTCCTACTCGCCATCCACCAAAAGTGCGAATGAATTTAAACAGGGAATGTGTCCTGATGCATTCACAATGTTGGCGGATGGCGAGTAGTGCAACGAGGCCCTCAGCTGCTAAAAGGGACCATAAACTCGAGAGCGAACAGCAACGGAAAACACCCACAGAGAGAGAGAGAGAGAGAGAGAGAGAGAGAGAGAGAGAGAAGCACGGATTTCGGCGTGTGTGCAAAAGGGAAAGATAGAGAGAGAATGGGTTGGGGGCGGGGGAGGGGGGGCACAGGACACAGGAAAGAAAGACGGGAAATAATGTGCTTCTAGCTACAGAGCGGTCAGGGCATTCAATCAAGCCAACGAAAATAAGAGTCATGGACGAGGAGAGGAGGTGGAGGGGGGAGAGAGAGAGAGAGAGCGAGAGAGAGAGAGAGAGAGAGAGAGAGAGAGAGAGAGAGAGAGAGAGAGGACAAGAACGAGGGTATACTGCAACAACAGCAGGAATCGGCTAACTTCATTACCTGCACAAAGCAGAGAGAGGGAAATCGAAGTGGCCGCAGGAGGGGAAAGAGGAGGAGAGCCTGGGGGGGAGGGGGGGGGCAAAGGGGGGAGGGCGGGGGGTAAGAAGAGGTAATCAGCAAGCTATTACGCATTTTTACGAGAATGGCTCCTTGCGTCCAAGAGTTAAAGGAGAAGATCGATGCGCTTTTACGCTGATTAATGAGAATAACCTGCTGCCACATTCTAAGCCCGCCGTCCACCAATTTTTTAATTGTAAATTTCGAAATTACCCTTCTTTTTTCCCCCTTCTTTCTAAGAGCAATTCTTCTGACCAATTTTTTTATTGTGAATTTCGAAATTACCTTTTTCAGCGGCTAACTCGACTGAATGAGACTAAGAAGGGGGGAAGCACAAGCAGGGAAGAAGGGAGATGGAGGGAGAGAGGGGGAGGGAGAGAGAGGGAGAGAGGGAGAGAGGAA